CTGCAGGTGATCTTGGGTTAAAACTTCCCCCAAATCCGGTTGTTGGCCTTGTGAGAAGCAAAGGCCAGCCGGTTGTCTTCTCCATCTCTGAGTGGGCCTGGTGGGCAAGAGGGCTCCACGGAGGTTTTGTCTCTGTCCCAGAAGGCACAGTGGGCAGAAGAGATTAAGCGGGGGCAGGGAGGAGGAGGTGAGAGAGCTGCTTTGTGGCGGCTGAAGGAGGAAGGGGTGAAGGCAGCAGGCTGGGGCGGGGCTAAGTGGCAGGCTTCCCATGGACCCTGAAGCGGTAAATGCACGTATAGTCAGGGTGACCCCAGTTGCTGAGGATTCGCAGCTCTACCAGCTGGTATGGGCTGTGTCGTTGCCCTGTGGGAAGAGAGTGGGGTCAGGAAGGCCTGACATCCCTTGGTGCAAGCCCTGCCCCCACAGCCTTTGTGCCCCAGTCTTCCTTCAAAGAGCAGTGGCTCAGTTAAGTCACAAGGTTTTCCCTCAGCTTCCTATCAGATCCAAGGGGTCCTGGCTTCCACTGCAGCCACTGAAAAACCACAGCAGCCCTGTGGCCAGTGATCCTGCCTTCCAGATCACCAGCCTTCCTGGGACACTGGCGGACTGCTGTGGGAGCCTCCCTGCATACCTCCAAGTGGAAGGTCTGAATGGCCTCCCCAGCATTATCGTAGGTGAACTGCCCGAGGGCCACCCCGTCTGCCTGAGAATCTTCATTTAGCCCCTGTACAGAAGGAAAAGCAAAGGGAGGGGATGGATGGTCAGATGAATGGATGCCAGGCCTGTGCACAAATAGCATGCTGTTAGCACATGCATCCCAATCAATGTAGGGAAGGAAAGGAGTGGGGAGGCTGTGGGGGAGGAGGAAGAGGTGGAGGAGGACAGGCTGGAGGATGCAGTAGCAGCAGGATAAGTTGGGGAGGGGATAGGAGAACCAACAAAAGCCACCATGAGGTTGCCTTCCTTGATCCCCTCATCTGCTAGCATCTCTCTCACTAACTCAATAGACAGAGCCTTTGCCCTCCATGCCCTTGGCCTCCCTCTCAGCTTCTTCCCCTAAGCCTCTGAATGGCTTGGCACAAGCCACTAAGTGTGTGAGCCTCAATTCTTCATCTGTATCTGGATTGGGATCCTAAAGTGTCCCTCTTGCCTCCATTTGTCACCTTCTGCTCTGGCTCCCTCTTTTCTCTCAAATCCTCCTCAGGTGGATGTTCCAATTCTGCCCTGAGTGGTGACTATGTAGGGCATGGTGGTCACCGTCCCAGACCAGCTCCACCATGGCACACGTGGCCAGGGAGGCAACTTGCTGTGGAAAATGTCCTTGTGGTAGCAGTGTCATCTTGGCTCTTCTGGCTGCTGTCATTGTCCTTTCCTGGTTCCTCTTGAAGAAGAGGGGGAGGAGCAGAAGGGCTGGGCCTGGAGTCAGGAGACCAGCCTCAATGTCACACGTGTCAAATGGGCACACCGTCGCATTCCTCAGCTGGCAATGCTGCTGTGAAGAAACCACTTTCTGCCACTCTAGAAAGGAGAGCTGGGAGGCTCAGGTACTCACCAAGATGACAAAGTCCTTTGGGGCACTGGGGATGTCAGCGGTTGGGGACAGAGCTTTTGGCACGTGCTCCAAGGTGATGGCAGTGAGCTGGATGCGGGCAGACAAGCGCACCACGACGAAGCCCTGGTGGCCCCTGAATGCCCAGCAGTTGCCAGGGTAGACGTCTGGCTGTGGGCACAAGACAAGGCAGGTGAAAGGAGGCAGCAGATGGAACAGGTCCTGGTGGTGGGGCCACTCTGCCTTGGGAGCCCAGCCTCAACAGAGGACGCTGAGACATGGGACATAGAGAGGCAAGCTGGGGGACCTTTGTTCAGCGCTACCTGGAGGATGAGTCTTGGGGACTGGAAATAGCGCCACAAGGGGATGCCAAAAAGAGTGAAATGGCCAGACCACTCCGTCCTCATGCCATAGGTCTGTGACGAGCGGCGGCTGACGATGCTGGCCCCTGAAAGAGCAACAGGAAAGGAGTGGGGGAGACCTGAGGGCTGGGAGGACCCAGAGATGGCCTGAGGGAGCCCTCAAGGTGAGGGGCGCTGCCTGGCCATCAGCCCTCCTAACTGCCCCGGCCCATAAGGGGCATCTTCATTTGTCAATTCCTCCTGTCTCTTCAAGTCCATCTTGATTTTCCAATCCCTTTTGTCCCAAGCCCTCTGGCTTTCTGCAGGCCACCTACCTGAAGATTCCAGGGCATAATCCACCAGCCCGATGCGATCTGCACTGTACTTTTTCAGTGCCTGCTCTACGATCTGGTGTACTTCCTAAAAGACAGGCAAGCACCATTCAGGGGATGGGCCACCTGCAGGGCTGGCCCAGTCCATGCGGGCCGGGCAAGTGAGCTACCTGGTCTGCCAGGGTTTCCCCCTCCCTCCTGGCAGCCTCCTCTCAGGGCAAACCAGTGACCCCAGCCAGGAAGATAGCGAGTGGGGCAGACCTCACCTCCTTTGTCACCCCGCTGGTCACTCCTTCCTTCACAAGGCTCAGCCTCAAGATGGCAGCAGCTTTGCCCGCACACTTATCCTGCTCCTCTGTCACATACCTCAGGATTCGGTGCTCTAGGTCACGAAGCTGGGCCTGCACCTCCCCTAGCTTCAAATGAAGGACCTGCTGAATCCAGCCAGGGACCTTAGACTCCACTAGAAGCCACCAGACGAAAGAGCTCAGCAAAGCCCTGAGCACCAGCAGAAATGAGGAAGCAAGAGGGCCTGGACAGGGGGCCTGGGGTGTCTAGAGTCACTCTGAGTTCTGGGGTCAGCACATGCCAGCTTGGTGTCAGGGAAGGGTTGGTGAACCAAGAGACTGGCATTTCTCCACTGCTTAATAATCTCATTGAACCCTCTAGGGGCTGTTATTCTCCCAGGTAACAGATGAGGAATGTCCTGTCCATATCACAAAGTCCACCCAGTAGGCCTACATGTATGGGAAGCGCCCAGTGGACAGCTTCGAGGGTGGTACCTCCCTTGGCTGACATAGCCCAATTTAGATGGAGAGATGCAGGTGGCCTAAGTCGGGGATGGGAGGACTCACCTCATTGCGCAGGGCCACCATCTTCTCTGGCCCAAGGTGTGATTCTTTCTCCACCTCAGCCTGGCTCTGGCTCAAGGCCACTAGCTCCTGCCTCAGGCCAACCAGCTGGGCCTCTAGGGAACCCATCTGCTTTGGCCTTGTTTCCACAAAGCCTTCTTGGGAAGAACTAGCCAATGACAAAAAGAAAGGGCAAGGTCAAGCTGGAGAATAGGCACTGGAGGATGGAGTCAAACAGAGGCCAGGAAATGGAACTGAAGGGGTTCTCCTGAACACAACCATGACTCAGTGCGAAGGACAGAGTCAGAGGCCTGGCTGAAAGTCTTTGCTGACATCCACTCCCTGCGAGACCCTGGGCACACCATTTCCCTCCCAGGCCTCAGTACCTTCAACTGTTCTCTGAGGTCTGCTTCAGTTTGGATCCATCTATGCACATGCTCACCCAAGGCTTCTGGCTCCACTGACCACCGTCTCCCAGGGAATGTCACTTGTGCTCGCTCTGCTCTAGCTTTCGACCCCTCCTTCCCTCCTTTTCTCTTTGCCAGTCATTTGGGGGCCTTACCTGTGCCACTCAGATGTCTTGTGCACCACCCCGCTTTCCAGCTCCTGTAAGGAAAAAGAGGACACAATGAGACCGAGGAAAACACCAACCTTTACCCGGAGAATCCTAGAGAGTCAACGAAAAGAAATCGGTGAAAACAACGCCTTCAACCAAATTGCAGGATCGAAAAGAAACCCATGAAAACCATCAGCATTTCCATACATCAACTAAGAAAATCCAGCAGAGAGATAAGATAGAGATATTCCATTGAAAACAGCAGTGGTCCGCATACAATACCTGGAGTATACCTAGCAAGACACACAGCGGAACTCCAGGAACACCATTACAAAACATCCTTCCCACAGAGAGACAAATCTCAACAATTGGAGATAGATTCATTGCTCATGGGTATGTCAAGCCAACAGAAGCAAAGGGACCAAAGTACCTAAATTCACTTACTTATTCAGTGTCATACCAATCCCACCACCAGGAAAGTATTTGGGCAGCAAAGAACCAGAAACAAAGGCGAGAAGCATCCGCAGGGGAATGGCGAAACCAACTGTGGCTTATGGACACAATGAAGTATTCGAATGTTGTAAGGAAGCACAAGTGTGTTGTATACAGATACACATGACAAGACTTATATGAAGTGGGGCAAAGTGAGAGAAATGAAGGAACAGTACCAGATAAACAAGCACCACAGACAACCATGTAAATGGAGCGATTAAGCAACATCCCAGACTAAATGTTGTGAAAAGATCATGTCCGAGCGTGGCCCCAAAGATGAGCAAGGAGGACATTCTTCTCTTCCCCTAATGCTGGGCTGGGAGTCTACTGACATGGAATCTGCACAGAAGGCAGATCTCTGATGCTGAGTTGGTTGGTTTTCCTGAACTCGTTTCTTTCCCTCTTGTTTTATTCTTCTGCTTAAGGGATGGCTATGTGGAAGGGGAGATGGAGAGGCTATACTGAGAAAGGTGGGGGATATGAAAGCAGAACGAGAAACTCTAAAGTCACTGATAAATATGTGTGTGTGTGTGTGTGTGTGTGTGTGTGTGTGTGTGTGTGTACTATTGTATAGATAAAGTTTGGTATGAATTTGGGTTATTTCTGTTCTTGTTTGAACTTTTGATCTGCCTGCAAGCTCATCATGGCTCCAAAACTCAAATGGATAAGCTGTTGGTGGGTAGCCAACATGATCTGCACATGGCCTTCATGTCTTCCCCCTTGGTGAAGTGTTCTAGTCTCCCCGGGCTCCCAGGGTCACCGCACCGTGTGACAAGGTGCTAGGGGGCCTCTTGTGGGAGGCAACTGATTTCAATTGAAGCGGGGGAAGTGATGAGGCTGAGTTTTGGAGAGGCAGACATTGAATTGCCCAAGGTCTGAAAGTCAGCAAATGGCAAAGCTTGAACTTTGATCCTGTCTCCCACACTGGGTTGAGAGGAATGAAGTGGATTGTGAGTGGTTTGTCTGGCCATCTTGTGCAAAGCATTCCTGACACTGAGCTGGACACTGACCTGGAAATATGAGGGGGACTGTCCTGATTCCCAACGGTCCTCTGTCCTGCCGCTGCCCTTGGCTGCCCACCAGGAGAGCACAGCAGGGGGTAAGGTCTGTAGTCCATAGGGGTAGAAATACCAAGCACCTAGCACATGGGACAAAAGGCTAATTGAGGTAGAGGCTGAGGTGCCAGAAGGGCAAGAAGTCCAGGGTGAGGACTTCCACCCAGACAGAGTATGGCAGTGTCACCTCTAAGTGAGCTAGGACCCCAGCCCCAGGAAGGCAGATGGGCTAGGGGCTCCATGATCTGGAAGGCTATGGCTAGAGCCACCTTCACCCAAAGAGTCTTCAGGAAAGGTTCCCTCTCTCATGATCCTCTCAGAACTCATGAAATCTTTTGGATGAAGCAAAATAGGGAAAGTTTCAGCTGGGAGAGGACATGGAGACTGAACCCAAGTGCTGCCTTGTGGTCCCAAGCCTGGTCAACACTCGGCCCTGTCCCTTTTGAATGAGGAGCAGAATGCTCTACAGAGAGGCTGACTGCAGACAGCCCCTGGTGACCATCTGCTTGTGGTGTCATCATTCCCTAGCTGGACTTGATGTCATACTGAGTGATGTCATGGTTCCTGTCCAAGAGTGCAGCCCTTTTGGGATCATGCAGGGAGGAACGCCCTCTCTGTTCTCACCAATGACAAAGGGCAAGGCCCTCCAGACCTGGCACTGGCTGTATGTCTAGCTCAGATAACAGATTCCTTCCTGACTCAGCTCCTCTACCAATCTCCCAGCCTTGGTGCCAGGTCAGTGACCACTGAGGGTACAGATAAATCACCTCCCTGTCCCTGACATGCTCAAGGTAGGAGGAATGGCCACCCTGACCTTGAAGCATGCAGCTCTGAAGTCTACATACGCAAGATGAACAATAAAGGTTTGTTGGATTGGATGGAGAGGAGAAGGACAGACAGCACAGAACTCTTACATTTGAGGCACGAGAGCTTGCTCATATGTCGCCCGGGTCCATTTTCCCAGTTCTTCGGTGCCTTTAGCTCCTTAAAGGATCCTCTTCAAAGCTCTGTCTTCCAAACTTTCCTTTGGCAGCCCTGTCCCCAAGCTTTTGTCCTTCCCACCCTACTGGAGTGGCTACTCTGGGTACTCCTCAAAGCTCACCATAACCCTGAAAACCCACACAACAATACCCCCAAGACAAAGAGGAGCAACTTCTTCCAAGTTCGAAAGCTGCTGGATTTTATCAAGGTGAAGGAGGAGATGTTAGGGCCTGCCCTTCCCCACCCCAGGCTCCTGGGGGACCCTCCCTGAGTGTCAAATGAAACAACTAAAACGCTCTTCTCCCTCCCACCTCCACCCCTGCCACTGGGCACCCAAGAAGAGGAGAACTGGGCTTGTATGGACAGTCCTTGGGGTAAAGTGGAAGGAGAAAACTTGGCTTTTTGAAAGGCACTCATGTTGTTATGCCAGGTGACATACTGCCCTTTGACAGGTCCGGTGGAAGATGTCTCCCTGTCAGACCTCCATCACCACTAGGTTCATATGGTGCTCATGAATTAGGCAGTCTTCTTTGGTCTCAGTCCTTACAATGCTTGTCAGTTTGGACTTGGAAGAGCTGCAGGAGGAAGCCCTGCTGAGGCAGGCTGGTCACCATCGGCCTAGCTTGTGGCCCCAAGAATCCAAGGCATGGCTGGGCCACCTGTGGGCCTTCAGGACACATGTGTTCCAGTAGGTCCTCCAGCGTGGCTGCAGTTCTCAGAATCAATCCCCTTCAGCAAAGGATTGATGCTGTAAAACTTGCTCAGTCCAAAAGTCACACTGAAGGACCTAGAAGGCCACATGTGGCCTGGAGATCTCCGGTTCTCCACCCCTGCTCTAGAGGCTCCTGGACTAAGCCCTGGAGGCAGCCTGGAAACCTGGCCATGCTCCTCCACAGAGAAACTGTAAGCATGGCCTGGAGACCTGGAAGACTTGGCAGAAAATTCTGGATTGGAACCCCAAAAGAAGGAGTGTCCCTAGAAACTCAGGACCCTCAGACTAACAGAGGGGAGCTCACCAGATTCAGTTGTGATCAGAGTCAGGAACTACTGAGGGGAGAGCTCCTAAATGATACTCAGGAAGAGAGTCCCACTTGTAGTCAGAGCCAACCCACTTCCCTGAAAAGAAAAGAGGAATGTGGGCTTATGTGTGCTGCTAAATTTTGAACAACCAGCTCTGGAAGAGGGTAAGGCTCACACAACCTACTTCTCCCACCATCATCTTCAGTGGGGATACCCTATGAAGCCCTAATTGGTAGCTGACTCTCAGGAGCAAGTTCCAGCTGGTTCCAGCATACCCCTGGCCCTGACCTGAGTTTATCTTAATATTCGTTGCATAAAAGTCTCAAAAAGCTGAAAAGGAACAGGGCAAAGCCTAAGGGGATATTGACCTCGAGGGCAATGGTGTCTTTTGGAGCAGTGGATCTTACATTCTGACAGGCCCCAGGGAGGCCTCACTGACCTGATTAACAGAAAGAAGTCCTGGAGGGACGCAGCTGTGGACAGGCACTTCCAGGTGTTTCCGAGGCACCACTGGAATGCTCCCAAGAGCCCACCTGTAAAGATCCCAGCAGAGGGATTCAAAGGCCTCACCCTGCAAGCCCATCCTTTCCCGGAGCTAGCCCCCTCCCAGCCAGTCAACTCTACAGCTGGTTCTTGCTACTCTGCTCTTCCATCCTCCCACAGCTCTTCAGCTGTGCTTGGGGATCCTTCCATAATAAGCCCACCTCCCCACACTGTCTTAGAGTTACTCCACCCTGGCCCAGTTTGCCCCTGCAAAGGCATGAAGAAGCTCTTCTAAGTACACTGCAGTACCACTCCCCTGGGTACTGTGCCCAACCACTGGCAGAATCCACTGAAAAGTTTATTGCCAACCAGCTAAAAATGCCAAGTTTGGAGGCACAGTTATTGAAGGTGGATGCAGAGCCAGGCTGGTGGATTAGGGACGCCTGCAGAGAAGAGAAAAAATGAGGATCCACCCAGAAGGTGAACAACCATGTTTGGGATCTTGAGCCCGCCTTCGGCCTCCAAACCAGAGACTGCAAAGTTCTCTCTTCCTGTTATATGAGAGATACCAGCTCCACCCCGCTTTGAGGCACCTTTAAAGTAAATGCCGCAATGCAGGGGAATGGGGCTCCAGGGCAGAAGAAGTGATGCCTACCTGCACCATTCCTCGGAGAAGCCCTGAGGACGACCCGGGGATGTTACAGGTCAAAAGGGCCAGGTGAGGGGCTGCTCAGAGGGCTAGTGAGATGCCTGTGACCCAACCAGACTTCCTCCTCACATTCCTAGGGGCAGCAAGTATGAAGAGCAAAGACATGAGGGTGAAAAAGAAGAAGGGTGAGAAAGAAAGGGAAGGGGAAAGGCCTGGAGGGAATGAGACTGCTGGAGACTTCGAGGATGAAAAGAAATGATAGCCAAAGCCCTCTTTTGCAGTTCTTATTCCTTAAAGACATGAATGATTTTTCATGAGCGATGCAGGATCGAATAAAGCCCCAGCTACCATGGGCCACTAAGGTCTTCTTTCCAGATGAAACCACCATGATGAGGTATGAGAGGAGCTTAGAGTCAGTTGAAAATGTGTCCTAACCCACAGGCCCTTCACCCACCTGGCTTCACCCTAAGAAGCATGGGCCTTTGGGCCAGGGAGAAGAGTTTCTATGGCTTAGAGGGGTTTTCCCTGCCCAGCTTCAGGCCTCAGAGTTTCCAGGCTTCTCCATGCTCAAAGTTGCCCCTCCCAGTTCCTGTTCTCAGAAGGAGAAGGCAGCAGCAGCCAAAAGCTGGGTCAAAGGGGGAAAGGAAATTCTCTTGTTTGTGGGAAAGCAAGCAGTAGAGTGATGGCTCCACCAAAATGGGGGCAGGAAAGAAATGTGTACATGGCAGCAGCCAAGGCCCTTGGCTGCCCTGGGCAGTTGTGATGGAGAAGGCAGCTTAGTCTCCTCTGGCTCCTTTACCTGAGAGGACCCTCCTGCGTTGGTGTGCTGTCCAGCCACCTGGGAACTCCCTCTGCTGCTGCTGCTGCTGGGGCTGCTCCCTCATTAACATGTGCCTGGCAACACAGGCACAGGTGCTCGCTGGGCCAAGACATCCTCCAAGCCTTTGAGTTGAGTAATTCTAGAAATTCCAGAAAGAAAGAAAGAGAACCAGTGCTTACTGACTGAGTCATTTGACTTTATATTCTGGGAGACCCTCAGAAGGAACTGATGCTGGGCACCTTGAAAGGAAGGGACCACATTCCTAGACTTCTTCCTCCAAAACAAAAGATGGGCTCGAAGCTTCTCTCCTAAGTGTTTCTGAAGCATCTCCCAGCACATTGATGACGGCTGCCTATCAGCCTCATGGCCTGCATTCAGCCCTTACTCAGCCTGGCCACTGCCTCTACTCTTGATAGGATCTGCAGTAGCCTTCCCTGCTGAAGCAGAGACTCCACTCTCTGCTAACTCCTTTCTGGATCTCCTCCTTAGAGCATCTTTATCCAATCTGAGCTGAACTGGCCTTATATTTGTTCTCAGGTTGCTTCAACAAACCACCACTTTCTCTTCTCCCCATAGATGGTAAGCTTGAGGGAAAGGACTGCCTTCACTTCCAAAGTCTTTGTCTTCCCCCACCACCCAAAACCCTGTTCTGGTGGGTGGAAGGGGTCACATGTACTGGGCCAAGCTAACCAGCTGATCTAGCCCTGACCCTTAGGTAATTCGCTTCATGAGAAACAGTCCTAGCCCTCTGAAGACTTTTTTTTCTTTTCATTTCATAGTCACAGCTCTTAAGGAATATCATACTCATACTACAAATGAGTCCATGTTGACAAGTTGTCTCAGCCTCCAAGGCAGGCTCTGGGCTTTCCCATCCGCCTGCTCGTGAGCTCCAACCTCAATGCCTCCTCAGGGATTTCTGAATTATCCAGCCCTGTGCAACTCCATTGCAGTTTTTTTGGTTTTTGTTGTTTGTTTTGTTTTGTTTTTGTTTTGGGATAGGAAGATCCAATAGGTGGAAAACTAGGCTTGGCATTGGGGGACTCAATTCAGTCAGGGCATCCCTGTACTGGGGATTGGGGGGCGAAGTTAGGGGTGGAGGAGAGTTAGATGTGCCTTGGTACAGGGGCTGTACAGACAAAAGAAGGGCAGACACTGTGTCCCGGCACACATGAGTGAACCGTTGTCTTCACTCAGGGCTCCAGACACTCCATGTCCCCACACCTCCTCTGGGGCCCCGGTCCTGGCATGGCGAGACCCGCCCCCGTAACTGCAGAGACTGTTTCCTCTCTGACCTGGCCGCCCTTTCCATGTCCAAGTCCCCCTCCGAGTCCTTTAGTGGGGACCCGGATAACACGAAAGGGAACTCGTGGGAAAAGCGGGGTACAGGCCAGAGGGGCCGCGAGGGGAGAGCGGGAGTGAGCAGGGGTGGGCCCAGCCAGGCCTTCATCCAGGGAGGATCATCCTTGACCTGGGTCTAACCCACATTAAAGGGTTGGCTAGAGGGCAGCTGGACTCTGGTACTGGCAGGATGAGCCTGTCAAGCCCGGGCATAGGTGGGTAATGAGCCCCATTCTTGCCACAGAAGAGGGGCATCTGAGGCCAGGGCACGAAGCGAGTTAACCTGTGCACAGGAATCTTGCCACTTCTCTCTCTTCCCAAGCATACACAAGTTTGCGCTTGCGCGCACGCGCACACAGAGGCCCATGCTCTCTCACGAACACAGGCACTCATAACACTAGGCAAATCAGCTAGACTTTGTCCCAGAGGAAGGTGAAATGTATGAGATTCCTTGGAATTGGAACTTGAGCCCTGGGCCTGGTCAACTCGATTTTCGGTTGGTTTGTTTGAGAGGGACATGAAGCAGTGGATCAAACAGGCCTGGCGCTGAGGGACTCCACTCAGTCATGGACCCCGCTGTTCCTGGGGATTTTGCGAGGAGAGGTTAGGGCATGGCGCAGAGGCAGGGGTGCAAAGCGGGTAACTGTGGGGGAGGGGGCCAGATATGCCCTCGCACAGAGGAGGGCACGGGGCTTCAGAACCTCCACCTCTCTAACACCTTTTCTCCCGGCCACGCCATGCCAGGAAGTGGTCCTCCGGGGTTCCTGCTGAGAACGCTGTGTCCGTCCCCCGACCGCCCGGGTCTGCACCAGCTTCCGCGTCCTTTGATGGCTACAAGGGTAACGTTGGCGGAACGCTGGCGCGCGCCGGAGACACTGGGAGGACAGAGAGAGCGCGAGCTCCAGCTGTGGACACCCAGCCTTTGATTCTGGGAGGATCATCGTTGGCCCGAGGCTTCCCCAATTTAGAATCTGGGCTCTGGCATTGGGAGTTTGA